ATATATTTATAGAGTAAAGTATGGATTGATCTTCCATACTTTACACATTTAACCCAATATACATTTTTGCACCAGTTTTGCCTCTTGTACAGAGTATAGGCCAATCACCATATACAATACACCATACTATTTTTAGCTTTATTAGCAAGACCTACTGCATACTGCCTACTATTAAAATATCATAAACTATAGTATATGCAGTATTCAATGAGAAACAGTTTTATACAGCAATATGCTACAGTGTTTATCATGACCATTGTTGCATGTATAATTCAGCACTGTATTGCATTGTGGGATACAATGATCTAGTGCACATTTTTTTAGCAAATGTAGAACATAATTTGGTTATTTCAAAATAAATTTGCACACTGTGCACACTACATATTCTTTCCTTTCAAAACAGTCGGTAGAATAGCATTCTGAACATTCCCATCGTGCGAGTGTGTTCCTATACTGTTGCTAAACTGTCTGTAGCAAACACTTAATCCTGTTCTGCCCACTGTTTCAAATCACCCAAGGGTCACCATGCCTCATTGCTATCAAACGCATAAACAGCACACAGATACGCAAAAACACTTCACAAAAAACCCCCAGAAACCTCTTCACCTCATATAAGCTGTGGCTTCTCTCACTGTGGAGAAAGAGACAGCATCTCCACACTGGCAGGATTGCTGCCTGGACCTCCTATTGAGGAGAATGCATCATTCTGTCTCAGTGTTGGCACGACAAACACTCAAACTGAGGTGTAAACAGAGACAATACATGCCCACAATAAATATCTCTCTCTCTCTCTATGCTGTACCGACACAGACTGAAAGATGGAGAGAAAATAACCACACTAATTTTTCTAACACTGTCCACCCCTCTGATTGGTGTCTTTAACCCCCAAGAATACAGACAATGCAGTAAAACCTGTTGCTGGACTGTCAGGCAAGAGTAGGGAACAAAATCCTAATGCCATCTCTTTACGCCTCAGTGGGAAAAAAAAGGTTATGTACTGGAAAAGAAAAGTAGAAGAACAAAAAGCATGCTGATTTATTAAAGATTTAGCCTTTAGTGCTGTAAGACTGTTGCTCAGTAATCTATATTTCTATGGTAACTGAGATGCAGATGTTCTGATGTGGAAAAGGTTGCTGTGGAAAATGCACAAACAAGGCCAATACTAATTTACCATTTACTTTGTGTTTCTCAAAGTGGATTTTCTATATTATATTATATTATATTATATTATATTATATTATATATTTTATTTTTTATAGAAGCTTGAATGATAAAGATTATTATTTTATAATATTATAATATGTATTATTATGCATATATAATTTATTTATTTTTTAATTTTATAAAAATATAAAATCATAAACACTTTTTTTTTTAAATCATGTATATATCAGCTGTCGTTGAGCATTATGATGACATATTCAATTTCAGTCTTCTGATTAATCAAGTGTGCATAGTTCCATTTGTCTTTGTATCAGTGACTATGGCATATTATGTGTGGAACTGCAGGAGATGTTCACAGACAATAGTTCAATATAGACCTGACACTTATATTCCATCTGTTTTGATGGCATCACTTGATGCTTGCCTATTGTTTTATGACATACTTTCTTAGCTCTGCCTCCATATCCCCTGTGATTTTTTTTTTTTTATGCAACGTGTTGACAAAGAACATTTCAAATCACAACGAAAGCATTTATAGCTTCATCGATTTAATAAGAGAAGTTTTTGTGACTTTGAGTGTGCATGTGTCAGATTTAATGGGAACTCTTGGAAATGGTGCAGCACTCTATTCCTGGAGGTAACCTCTAGTCATCTCTGCTTTCTGGAAAATAAGACAGGCAGCTATAATGAAATCATGATGCTGTTTTATATTGCAATGTTTTTTGTTGTTGTGTATATATAAATGTATATTCCTTTATGCAATGTTGCATCCAAACTGATGGGTCAACAAGAGATTTTAACAGAGTCTGACAGTACATCCGCTTGAAATAACATAATGATTTCAGTCTAGCTCCAAGAACATCTTGAATAGCATAAGTCGAAATATACTTGCTTCCCCTAACTCTACCTGGATTTGTACAGGTTGATTGAGATGCTCAAATAAACACAGTAATATTTTAATATAGTGTTACAGAGCCTAATAGTTTTATAGTTTTTCCAGGAAAAAGTTTATTATTTTATTGTTTAATTTTACTACTTACACACTATTGTGTGGTCAGAAAGAAATTAATACTTCAAATGTACAAGGACACATTAATTTGAGTAAAAGTAAAAACATTTATATTGTTACAAAAATGTATATTTCAAATAAATGTTGTTCTTTTGATCTTTATATTCATCAAAAAAAAAAAATCCTGAAAAAAAAAAAGTTATCACAAACATTTCCACAAAAATATTAAGCAGCAAAACAACATCGATAATAATATCAATAATAACTGAATACCAAATCAGCATATTAGAATTATTTCTGAAGAATCATGTGACTCTAAAAATTGGAGTAATGGCTGTTGAAAATAAGAGACTTCCTTTAAAACATCTAAAAATCTTTCTCTCTCACACACACACACACACACACACACACACACAGTTAAATTGTTGCTTTTTTGTACACCGCTTCAAAACCAGGTAAAACATTGCACTTAGTCAACCACTGTGAGGATGTCCTTTATTCCACAGAAAAAAAATAACGTAAGAGATTCAATCCTGAAAATAAACTCTGTTGTCACTCCTGAAACATAGCAGTGTGTACATGATAGATTATATCTGTATTGTGGAGAGGACATTTTAATAACACATCCCTGGCTGTGTTATTGTCATGCATGCTGTGTGCATTTAGAGGGAAACATATGGACACAGTTAGCGCTCCCCACCTGCATATATCTCCACTAACACTCACAGAGATCAGCGCAGTGCGGTTTCACCAGCACCAGCACACTGTCCCGGGAAACACTGCAGTTGTTTTTATTGACAAACCTGTTCTCATTCAGTGGCCGAAGACCCGGCTGAGATAATATAAAGAGATGTGTGCCGTGCTAATAAGTCCTGTCACGCTGTCAGTATTTAAGTGCTGGGCTCAATTCAAATCCAAGAAAGTCACCTTGCATACTCTCCAGAATAGCTGAGCTTTCTAGTTTACCTTTGGGGGAGTTCTTAATGTCAGACACAATTACCCCAAAGAGCTCTTAACTGCGATGTTTGAGTGATGTTTTGATAATGTGGTCGCGCTTGAATGAATGATGGGATCTCTGTCATTTTCAGCGTACGGTTAAGTCATGACACAGTGTAAAAGCACTGTGGCAACTTAGATAGACTCTAGAGGGAGGCCGATTTACATGTATGCTAACTTAAACAAAATGTCATTTCTCAGGTTTTTGCATTTAAAAGTCAAGCTTGTGTGTGTTTCTCTTCTGTAGTGTGAGTCTAAGGCAGCATGTAGAACCGTACTTTTGAAAACTTGTGAAAACTGGCTTAATTAATATTTTCACATATTTTTGCGTAATTTAATTGGAAATTTCATAAGCGATAATTACCTTGATCTGTCTTTGTTTTCTTCACAGATAACACGACTCATACAGTGTTTCATTTCAAGCACACTTAGACTGACACTTTTGATAGTTTTGTAACCAAGTACACTAACTATTGATTAAACTTAATTAACTGAGAGACAATTGTAATTACTGTAAAAGTTGGTGTAAATAATATTATCACCATAAATACTTAAATTATTTGATAATTTTACTCTTTCTCTTGATGATGCATTTTCATATTTTCATATTGACAGTCTGTGTCTGCACGAAGGGTAAAGCAAAGTAGCAGTGGAAAAAAAAATGACAACATGATAAGAAGTGTGACTTAATGCATTTTTAATGTGATGTTCATATAATAATAGATGATGAAGGACTATGGCAACTGGGATGCTTTGGCCTAGAGGGAGGCCATTTGTGAACTTACACAGTCATTTCTCAGGTGTTTGCATTTAAAAGTCAAACTTGTGTGTGTTTCCGTTCTGTAGTGTGAGTTGAAAACTTGTGAAAGCTGATTTAATTAATGTTACCACAGTTTTGCACACTTTGACAAAATTGCAGCTTGATTGGAAATTTCACAAGAGATAATTACTTTGATTTATCTTTGTTTTCTTTACACAGAAGACGACTCAAACAGCATTTAATCTCAAGCACATTTAGACTGACACTTTTGACATTTTTGTAACCAAGTACACTAACTATTGATTAAAATTTAAAATTTTCTTACCTTACATACTCAAATGGTTTGAATTGTGATAATTTTACTCTTATGATGCATTTATATATTTTAAGATTGAAAGTATGTCTGTAATCAGGGTAAAGTAAAAGTAGACGTATGGCAAAAATAAGTGAAGGCATGATAAAATGTTGCATTTTTTTAATTATAAAACTTCATTAACTGAGGGACAATTGTGATTCGAGTAAAAATGTATATGAATAATATTCTCCCCATGAATATTCAAATGTTTTTTGATCATTTTACTCTTTGTTTTGATGACTGAAATGTAACAATTAGTGGTTTTATGATGTATTTTCATATTTTAAGTCTGTCTGTGAAAACTGTAAAGCAAATATAGCAGTAGCAAAAATAAATCATGAAGGCATGATAAAATGTTGCATCTTTAAAGATAAAACGTCATTAACTGAGGGAAAATTACAATTTGTGTAAACAAAGTATTTAAATAGTTTTCACACAATAAATACTCAAATGGTTTAGAATCACTTTGCTCTTTGTTTTGGTGATCAACGTTTTTAAAAAGCATCATAAAACTATTGATTGTTACATTTTCATCTGAAGTCCATATCTGCGAGTCTGCGACAAGGGTAAAGCAAAAGTAGTGGCAAAAAATAAATGAAGGCTTGATAAAATGTTGAATTTTTAAGTTCTAATGTGACCTTCATATAATAATAAAAATCAACTGCTGAGTCTTTAACCTGTATATATTTGCTGTTAGTACATAAATGAGGCTTTACCTTTTTGAGCATGATGATTCCCTCCTGATTGTGCTCGTTGGTGGTGATATCAAACATGGCTCCTCCATCGCCAGGGACGATGTTGTATTCCACCTCTGCATTCTTTCCAATGTCCAGATCATGAGCTTTGATTCGGCCAACCGCTGACCCAACTGCTGATGACTCTGGTACACGCAGGTGGAAGATGCCTGTAGAATCAATGAGATTTCTGAAGTTACACCGTGTCTACACCAGACGCGAGCGGCACTGCGCGACACGACACGATATGAAAAAATACTATAGAACCCATTATAATCAGTGATGCTGTCTACACTAGATGTGGCACGGTGTGACACGAAAAATCCCAGACAGTAAACTGCTGCCTCGTTCTATGTATGACGTACTGACACAAAATTTCAAATAATTTGCAACGGTCGCTTTATAGCGTCCAGTGTAGAGAGACTTTAGCTGTTGCGGCACGGCCAACTGTCGCATCCGGTGAAGAAACAGTGTTAGTTTCTTCAGCGGAATGGATTTGAAGAAATGGATCCTCTGCAGTGAATGGGTGCCGTCAGAAAGAAAGCATCTGATAAAAACATCACAATAATTCACAAGTAATCCACACCACTCAAGTACATCAATTAGCATCTTCGTGTTTGCAATAAACAAATCCATCAAGGTGTTTTAACTTTAAACTATTGCTTCCATAGTCCATAATCCATAATCCACTTCCTCCAGTAAAAAAGTCAATCCCATTGCCTCTCACATCAAATTCCACTGACATATTTGTTTAGAACTGTTTTTGCTTGTAAATTATGCTTTATCTACACTGTGTGGATTGCTTGCAAATTACTGTGGTGTTTTTATAACCTGTTTGGACTCTTATTCTGACGGCACCCATTCACTCCAAATAATCCATTAGTGAGCAAGTGATGTAATGCTAAATTTCTCCAAATCTGTTCTAAATCTGAAGAAATAAACTCATCAACATCTTGGATGGCCTGAGGGTGAGAACATTTTCCATTTTCCTTTAAGACCAGGACTGTGTATTAAGCAAATACATAGCATTGGTTCTGATTTAATGTTCAAGGCAAGTCAAGTCACCTTTATTTATATAGCGCTTTATACAATACAGATTGTGTAAAAGCAGCTTTACAGCGTTAGACAGGAAAAAACGTGTGCTGATAATGCAAGAGGACAATAGAAAACAGTCAGTTTATCAGTTAAAAAAGTTCACCGATTCAGATTTCTGAAATGCACATTTACATTTACAAAATAACATATTCACACTGCCACAGTATTCCTCCTCCTGTGCCAAATTTCGGAAGTTATTGAGCATTTGATAACTGCCTCAATGCACTTGGCTGTAAATGTGAAATAAAAAGCAGTGATGTTGTGTTGGTTTCACACTACACTGCTTTTTGTTGGAAAAATGCTTGTTGGGAAAGCTACACTAATTTGAAAACAGCTGAGCTAATGCCACACTACTAAAAATGTAGTTAAGTTAGTAAAATTGCTACTTTTAGTTAGTTACCCCAATGCTGGTGAAGACACATGCATGGTAGGCACAAACAGATCATGCTGATTAGTGAAAACTAATGTGTTGAGTGGCCGTGGCTGCAAAAAAAATAAATAAAAAATAAAACACCTCAGCTAATTAAGAAGTCATTAGATGCATTAGTGAAATGCACCAAAAAACAAACAACAAGAGAGAGAGAGGCAGAAACACGGCCCAGAATGCAGCAGTCATCATAGTGCCATCCTCTGAGACGTGCAGATGGAAATCTGTTTCGCTCCCAGGGTATTACCAATATTTACACAGCGAGGAAACCAGTGCTCATCACTGAAACTCAACATGATTTCTATTTCACGATTTCTGAGCGCAAATGGAGCCTGTTCACACGTACTTGTTTAAAGACTAGGCCTTATTCCAGTGGAAAAATAAACAAAGTAAAATCTACAAGTATATAAATGCATAAAATATGAGACTGTTAGATAGAAGCTGTGAACAGGGACGGTAAGAGGCTCTCTTGCGTCTTTTGCAGCACCTCATGCATGGCAGGCCATTGTAAAAACGTGGCGCTCAGGTTAAAAGAAGTTCAACTTAAAAAAAAAATGATTCTCAACCTTAGGTTTCCCCCCCATTCCACTGGCCACATCTTGAATTTTTCAAAGCAAATATACATTCTTTGTGAATGGTCCCTAAGACTGCACGCTCATTTTTATGGCTTCTTTGCTGTTAGGAAACTCTGGTTTCTCTGAAATCTCAGTAATTCATGTCTAGTGTGTTCATACACTCAAGAACTAATGATATTTGTGTGTTTTTTCTTCTTCTTTCTACTACTCCGGAGATGCTGTTAAATATGCTGCCTTTCTTCCTTTATGCTAAGATTCATAGATTCAAGATTATTCATTTATTTTTCAAGAAATATTTGCATACATTTTCTCTATGAATGCATTACATGTTAAGCTTCCTAATGTGTATTTAAAAAGAAAATGCTGCATTACCAGTCAAAGGTTTAGACACACTTGCCTGAATTTATGTTTCTCATTATATATATATAAAAAAAAATTGATCTAATGCTTTATGCATAACTGCTTTAAATTTGTTTGATGGTCTGAATTAATTGTGCAAACAATCATTTTATTACAGAGCTACAGTTTTATATGTTTTTTTTATTTTTTATTTTAATATATTAAAAAATATATATTATTTTAATTTACTTAATTTATTTTTTTTAATATTTATTTTTGCCATAAAAAAAATAAAAACATTTTTAGTTACTATATAATTCCAATACTTCCATTTGTGATGGAAATATGGGATACTAATGGAACAATGATAATGGAATAATGGAACAAATTGCCATTCCCATACTTCCCATACTTCCATTTGTGTTTTGCTAACTTCACTATTGATCTAACATATGGAAAACAAAAGAATGAGAAGGTGTATTCAAACTTTTGACTGCTTTGAGTTTACATGAGCTGATAGTTATACAGTTATAGAGTGGCTCACTTTTGGAGAACCTGGGTGGGTTGTCGTTGACGTCACTCAGGGTGATGTTGATGGTGGTGGTCCCTGCCAGACCCCCTAACTGTCCGCCCATGTCTTTGGCCTGGATGAGGACCTGATACAGCTCCTTCACCTCCCGGTCCATGTTGGGTAGAGCTGTCCTGATGACTCCTGCACACAGAACGAAAGAAAGTCAGACTGCGTTAATGGAAAGAAGAGACCAGAGAAAAGGAAGATAAAGGGATACTGAGGTAAACAGAGAGTATAGATAAAGAGGCTGTGAATACAGGCAGGTATCAGTGTGTGGAGAGAATCGGATTACAGAAAAGAGGGTAAGGTGAGGAGAAGAATAGGGTTTAGACCTGAGAATGAGGCCTGCTGAGAAAGGGATGTGAATGGTAATCTAAAAGAACAGACACAATTGAGATAAGAAAATTGAGAGTGGCAAAAAAAGGAAATGGATGAAGTTCTGCTGCATTGTGGAAAAGTAAACTGAAGCAAATTGAACCTAAAAGGTGTAGTGTGTCATTTCTGCGCCATTATCAGTATCCTGAAAGTCTGTCTTACCTCTCTGCATGACATGCCACACTATATGTGTGTTGTTTTAGGGTTTGAATTAATGTTTGGAGGTTATAATTTAGTCCTGCCCAATGAAATACATGGCTGATGAGATGTTATCTACATTTTATTAACACCTTTATCATGGTGGTTGTGTGTCCCAGCAAGTTTTAGGCTGCGTAACACAGTGTGCTACTACACGGAACGGGTCAAGGTTAGCATGGCCCTGTTAGCCTCTGATACCACAGCCATTTGATACTAAAAAAGCCTATTTCTCTATTATTCAATTACTATTCTCAACCTTTTCTCTGACTATTAATATTAAAGGAATACTCAGGGTTCACTGCAAGTGAAGCAGCTTCTGGAATATAATGTTAATAACCACAAAAAAATAACTGAAGTGGTTAGGTTTACAGTGAGGAACTTGCATTGAAAGTGGCCAATTTTTGTATTATATAAAAGCATAAATCTTACAAAAGCACTTCTATCTATCTATCTATCTATCTATCTATCTACAAACAGTTTCATTACAGGTAATCATCACTGTGCCACAAGATTCAGCTTAACTTGTATTGAACCTGGAATATTCTTCTAAACAGATGGGAATGGAAAGTCGATTGGGGAATTTGGGAAGTTCATGTATCTTAGTCTATATTGTCATTCACAATGCACGTTCCTGAATATTGAGTGGGCATTTATGTCAATGTGTGCATCCATATGTTAATGTCTCTTTGGATATGATCACAATCACAATTTCCGAATGTACTATTTTTGCAGCTTAGTTTCCATACATGCTTTCACTGGAAGCATTACAGTATGTCTACACTGGAAAACAATATATATATCTGGCTTTATTATTCTTTGGAAAAGTCCCAGACATTACATTATAATGTATCCAATTTAGAGCACATTACTGTTTAGGAATCAGCTGTTAACAAATAAAAAGTGACGCTCTCCCATTTTTTATTTATTTGTTTTTTTTTTTCTTGGAAGCATCAGCACAAAGATTTCTCATAAAGTACTATAGAACTTAAAAGTGTTATTGTAGGGCATCAGACTGTAAAAACCTTCTGGAACCACTGATGTACAGCTCTACATTCAAGTGTTTTTCTCTAGCTAAAAGATTGAGGTCATTCTTAAATCTTCTGGTACTTGACAGCCTTAACAAGGCGACAAAGCCAGTGTAGCAACACCTTTCCTCACTATCCTTCCATAAAGCACAACTAATGCGTTTCCCAACACCACAAGAAGCTTTCTCAGATCAAGAGAGTGCTTCATAGAATGAATTAGACATTGTGGTGGATGGTTAAAAAGGGCACGGACCTTCATACAATGGCAGTTTCAGATGAAACGTAAGAGGGATGTCACATGTGATTCTCTCTGCCTGTTACAGGATGGATCTGTTTTTGACTTTAGTTTCGCATGAACAGATCTCTCTTTGAAGTTTAGTGTGGTAAATGAATAGTTCACCTAAAAATGACATTTCGTTATCATTTACTGTATCACCATTAATTTTTCCTGCATTGGAAGCAGAAATTCTGCCTAAGATCTTCATTTTTTTTTTTTTTTCACAGAGAGAAGAAGACAAAAATAATACAGAATTGGAATCAACTTGGAGTGATTAAATGGTGGCAAACTTTCATATTAGGATGAATTATTCCTTTAAGGTCTGTGTTTCCTGAGTCTGTTTTCTCTCACGACTTTCAGTGCTGATTCCGTTATACCCTCCTCTCATGGCTTTTGTTTACTGTCAGTTTGTGTTGGCAAATTTTTTGATATGGCCTAAGAAAAAAACAGATTTTTCTTCCTTACTAGTCATTTTATTTGTTCGGCTACAGAATTTCATCCTTTGAGCCCTCCCTCTGGGCCTTGCTGATATCAGGATATTATATTTTTATTCCTATATTCCTGTTTGCAATGCTTCATACTTGTACAACAGGCCATAACCATGCCGAAAACAAGCAGGAAATGTTCGCACGTGCTCTGTGCATCAAGTTTACCTTGCAGGTTTGTGCTTTTGCATATTAGATATTACAGCCCATTGATTGCAGACGATGCCCATTTGTAGATTCCCATTCATTGCTTTAAACTCTCCTTAATTTTGCATAACAAAGTGTTCACTGGCAGAAAATAAAAGGCAGTTTATTTGCTGCATCATTTGATGATGCCACAGTTCCCTTAGCCATATAAACAACAGAAAAATCCATTTGCTGTTACCGAGCAGACTTTATTTTCTACTCGTAGGGTCTGAAATGCAGCACCCGATTGTATAATTATAGATCTTTTCAGGCCTGTTTAGCTAACAGGATGTCCGTTATGTTCTGCTATTCAAAATGAATTGCAGTTTATTTTGAGTTACAAATCCATTTTCTAGGCTGGCCACATTATAAAATCAAACCGCAGAGCTTACTTGCCTAATACGGTCAATTAATGTAATTACATTGAAACCTGTGAACTGTGAAATGAATGAGTCTACTCTGTTGTATTACACAAACAAAACAGATGAACTTGTTTGTTTTAGTAATAATTTCATGTTTTATGTAGCCAACATTTTTCTGAATTTGCTATAAAATATTGAGGAGTGTTTTACCTGTTTTGGCATCCACTGAGAAGTACGGCTGGCCGTGAAGTATGCTGTACACGACCCTTGCACTGTTGCCGTATGTAGGGTCGTCTGCATCTGCCGCCGTCACCTTCATCACATATGTACCTGCAAACACATGATATTATTTGTTTGTGTTAAACTGCATGAATAGATATGGGAAATGTGCAAGACATGCTTTCTTCAAGGTTGTAACTGTAATAGCATGTAGGGTTTGACTGGGACTCGAAAACAGGCCTATGCAGGCACATCATTATATGCTTTGGTTATGATGGGCTGATAAAAAACAACAACTATATGGCTATGTACTGATTCTCCACTGTATTTTGATATGTCTGAAACAACAGTTTTTACATTACAAAGGCAGCACTTTTAAATTACCCAATAAATGACAAATCATCTGTACTGTAGAAAGAGCTGATGGTCACGGGTCACTGAATTACTGTGTTTTACTGAAATGCAGCACAATGTGCTCGACCACCTCACATTTAGTAGGAATCATGTCTTTTGTTTTTTAATGTCTATCTATCTATCTATCTATCTTATAGTTCTATCTATCTATCTATCTATCTATCTATCTATCTATCTATCGTTCTATCGTTCTATCGTTCTATCGTTCTATCGTTTGTTCTCTTTTCATCAAAATCTTCTTTCAGCTCATTTTGTTCAGTTTAGTCTAATCTCTTCTATCAATTAAAGGTAAAAATAGGAAAATACAACTGAAATTTAATGTAAAATGCATCCTTTCAGACCTCCACTACCACTTTAACATAACTTTTATTATTTGATTTAGCTTGTGATTCAGATCTATAAGTAACAGCATTCTGAAACTACATTTACTTCAATCACAAGCTCACTTTTATAAGTATATATACATACATATATATATATATATATATATATATATATGGAGTTATTTTTATATTTTTCTAGTAGACGTCTAAAAGGATGCATGAGGGGTCTGTTTACATTTATATGAACTGTACTACATGTGGTTAAAAGCACTTGACAATCCACAGCATGGAACTATTGATGTTTTTCAAGACTACTGCAGTCCAGTTTGATTAAATGGTGTAACCACTGATCTATAATCTAAAGAAAATTACATAGATCAGTCTACACCACTTACCTCAGGGCTGGGCAACTTTGGTCCTGGAGGGCCACTGTACTGCAGATTTCAGCTCCAACCCTAACCAAACACACCTGCCTTTTTTAGTGATCTTGAAGACATTGAAGACACTGTTTGTTCAGGTGTGTTTGATTAGGATTGGAACTAATGCTGCATTCACGGCATGTCTTAATTACTGTGATTTCGAGATGACAACACGTGACGTTCTACTTGGAGCTGTTCACACCTTTGGACTCGGAACTATTGCACTATCAATGACTGAACATAGCGCCGAATGAATCTGAGGTGGTAAGGTGGTAGTTATGGTGGCCCAGTAGGTAGTGGACAAGTTGTAGCTCTCAGAAAACTCCCAGTTCACAAGTTGTAATTACAAGTTCTACAAGGACTTTGGCATCTCACAATCACGGTAATTATGATATGGCGTAAACGCACCTTAAACTCTGCAGGACAGTGTCCCTCCAGGACCGAAGTTGCCCAGCTTTGACTTACATCATAGTATCATGCTTTAGTTTAGAAATTCTAGTGCACTTCTGTTCTTCATCTAATAGACAGTAGCCTTTTATTACTGGCTTAATCTGTCCCAGTGGTGAGGCCAGAAATATTAAAGTGGGTGGACCTCAGTGCCTATTTCAAAAATAATTTTACAAAACATGAAATAAAAATAGTGAAGCAATTTTGACAGCTAAAAACGGCATCATCTACTAAAAGTATAGCCTAATGCGATTGTAATCTATTAACTATGCTTAAAGCCCATCTTTTTACTTAAGTACCAGATGTGGGTACTTAAAATATTTTTAATATGACTAACTTTGTATTTAATGTGAATTCAATAAAAAAAAAAACAACAACATTGTAAGTTACTAATTATAAAGCTTTTTTTTTTTCACAGTTAATCAAACAGCGTATACATTATATACAGAAAGCGAGCAAAGAATATGTACATTATCAAAGAGCATTATCACTGACTTAAGTCTAATGTGAGTTTAAGCACTCTCAAAAACTCCTGTTATAACCTCTGAAGCTGTCTACACTGTGAAATGTATCTCTTACACTAATCGGTAAAGTATTTGCATCACTGCAGCTGCCGTTAGAAGTCCCAGTTGCTATACAAACAGTAAGAGTTCTGAGACGCACGCTTAGGACTGCACATGTGCACTGGCTGATCTAGCCTGAATAATACGCTTATTTAATGCTATTTGAGCAAAAGAAACAACATTTATAAGACAGTTGTCAGATTTCATTGGTAAGCTTGGAGAACAGTTTTGGATACTAGATGATATAGGAGTGCACTTGCATGCCCGAGAGGTGCTTTAAAGATGGCCGCCGAGTGAAACGACTTGCCTTAAAGGGACTTTGGTATCATGCTGTTTTGCTAAAGCTATAGAACATCTGCATTGCGATGATGATGAGGCAGTGTTTTCTAACGTCATTTAAAAATATAGAAGCGCACAACTGGAAGATCAGAGCTTATTCCCTCTTAATTAGTTTTTACATGTTTGCATCTGCTAGTAGTACGTATGTTCATGTAAATGAGCGACTATTGTCAAGTATGCGGGCTTTTTCTTTCTTACAAAATCAATCAAATTATCTCATTTGATTGGGTGGACCAGCCATCAATCTGAGTTGGCCAGTGCCACCCTGGCCCTTATGTAGCCTCTGGCCCTATATGATGGCTGTAGAAATATTAAAAAGCACATGTTCAGTAAACATTTTTTAATCAAATTTGAAGAGAATGCAAACATATTCAGTGTGAAATAATGTAGGGTTTTGGTTTAATTTAGGCTATCAGGTATTATTATTATTATTATTATTATTATTATTATTATTATTATCTGAATATTATATCCCGCCCCCGTAGCCTTGATTACATCAGTAAAAAAGTCATTTCAGAGGTGGAGAAAGATTACTTTTATATGCAATATTATTTTGAAAACATTCTTGTTTCGAAGAACATGAACAGGGACAATTCATACATAGGGTCATTTGTGATTATTTGTCTTTTATGGAATCACTCATACCACAAGTAGAGTGAATTATCACTGTCTGAGATGAGAAAAGAAACTCGAAGGCCATGGAGGAGAGACAGAGAGAGAGGGGAAAAAAAACAAAAGGAACCGAGAAGTAATTGTACAGATTTTAAATGAAGACCATTTCCCAACGGAAGTCATTTTTAACAAGCTGATGCAATTACCTTTGATTTTTACCTTTTTTTTCTTTTTTGAGTTCTCTCAGCACACATTGATATGCATTCAGATTGTTCTGGCCTCCACATAGAGAGTTGAAAAGCACTAAAAACCCAGTTCCAGTCCTTTATGTGACCTCCAAATTAGACAGTCACATTCTGTTAACCCAAAGAAAAATACATCCAAAGTCAAGAAATATGTACAAAGCCTCTTGTTTGTGTGTAACAGCAAGGCTCATTTATGCTGAGATCATGAGTAGCTTTGATTCAGCTGGGAAGGGGAGGGTTTCATTTCATTTCATTGCCATTCAGATCAAGGAAAAGGCAATCTCAAAGTGAATTACCCTGATCTGTCATCCTCAGGGGAAGTAACATGAAAAAGGCTTTGGTGCTAGATAAGGCATGTAGTTTATTACGCTCGACGCCAAATCGTATGTCAGACTTTACCTCTTGCCATGCCAAAGCTTTTCTTATTTCTTTGTTTATTTGGATATATGCTTGACATTTCCATGATTTCCAAAACCTCTTTAAACTCGAAAGCTTTCATTTCAAAATGTTTTAATCTAAACATCTGCTTTCTGCTCAACAGATGAAAGGCTGTTTAATCAGTGATATTCTGTACAGTGTGTTGTAATGAGTGGTTTCTCACCTGCAATTTTCAGTTTTACAGTATCAGCTTTCATTAGATGCACTTATGCATCTAAACTTTCTATGCACTCTGCATTTCCAATTGTTTTATCCTCAGATATATTCAAGAGTGTGAAGATATCATGTGGATTATTCAGCAGTGATAGACTGCAGTAATAACTTATGCATTGTTTTAATTTAGACAGGTCTTTATTCTATAATTAAATATCTCGGGTTAATTACCTTGCATGAGTTTAAAACCCCCATGGGCTGATATATATATATATATATATATATATAGATATATACATACATACATACATACATACATATATTATTTTTTTCTTTCCAAGCATATTTGTACATCAGAATATGTCCTGATTAGTTAGGGTTTTTTTTTCTGAGCAAAAAAATAATACAATTAGTATAATAACATTTTTTTTATCACTTTTTCATTTATATATTTTAATAAATGCAGAATAAGTATGTTGTTTCATTTGTACATAAATATATCTGTTGCATTGAATGACGATGGAATATTATTTCACCCATATTTTGACATTTTATTTTCACAAATGTTATTTGAAACATTGAAGTGGACATTTTACTTGCATTTATTATGCTTTCTGTGTATATACAATCACTTTTGTAAATTTAATTTAGTAAATTTAACACCAAAATGGGACATCTCATCTTTGAACCATACATATCAGTAGTATTCAGTGTGAATTTTTTGTGCCATTATTTTTACTTTATGAGAATATGTACAATTGCTACTACTACAACTAAATAAATAAGTCAATAAATAAATAAATAAAAACATTTTCCCCTTATTTGGAAGTATATTCGCACATAGATGACCTCAAAGTAAATAGACATGTATTTAAATTCCATGGAGTTCAAAATTTGCTGGAGATGCTCTCTGCAACCACAAGGAACCACTTGAATAGACCAACTTAATTGCATGCTACAACAGATCACTCAACAGAAAGACTGCAAAATAAAATTATACAAAAATATAGTGACTTGACGTGACATGTGGCCAAGTATGGTGACCTATACTTGGAATTAGTGCTCTGCATTTAACCCATCCAAAGTGCACACACACAGCAGTGAACACACACCCGGAGCAGTGGGCAACGATTTATGCTGCGGCGCCCGGGGAGTAATTGGGGGTTCGGTGCCTTGCTCAAGGGCACCTCAGTCATGGTATTGAAGGTGGGAGAGAGTGCTGTACATTCACTCCCCCCACCGACAATCCCTGCCGGTACGAGACTCGAACTTGTAAAGTCCGACTCTCTAACCATTAGGCTAACCATTAGGCCACGACTTCCCCGTTTCCCCTGATTTCATATAAGGCAGATGAAGACAAAAACATAATTGTAATATTTTAAAGGGGTCATATGATGCAATTTAAATTTGTCCTTTCTCTTTGGAGTGTTACAAGCTCTTGGTGCATAAAGAAGATCTGTAAAGTTGCAAAGACTAAAGTCTCAAATCCAAAGAGATATTCTTTATAAAAGTTAAGAGTCAGCCACGCCTACCTAAAACGGCTTGTTCTAACACGCCCCCACATATCTACGTTGTTTGTGGGAAGATTTGCATAACACCGCCCAAATGTTCACGCAAAGAAAGAAGGCGTAACTTTTATTCTCGCTGTAGTTTTGTTGTTTCCGCCACCATGTCGTAAAAAGATGCTGTGTGCTTCGTTGTGAAAGCGAAACGACTTTGTTTGGTCTGCCAAAAGAGGACACGACTAGAAATCAGTGGTTAAGTTGTATTTACAACACTGTTCCAGAACAGTTCAACCCAAAACAACTTTGTGCTGTCGATCGCCGGATCGGCTTTCACCGTGGACGAAGCGGAGTCCAGCCCGGAGTCGTCACATATCCTTCCAGACGCTCTTTCGTCGAAATCTCCGGCCGCGCCGTTCTCAAGCCCACCTCGCCTCTGCTCACTCTAACCCTCCGGTCGTTCCTCACGCTAGACTCCGGCCTCTGCTCACTGTAGGCCGCCGTGTGTGACGCTGTTTCGTT